ATTTTATATTTTAACCAAATGTGCTACCATTTTTGAAATAGTGTTTTATTATGTTTTCACTGTTCTTTTTAAAGAGCATCATGACAGTGATGCCATCATGAATCTAAAGTTGTGCTGCATACCTAAAATGATACTGTATTATTTCTCTGACTTTTCAGAGCAGTAATTGAAAAGTTTTATTCTCTTTGTGATGATGAACTTAAGTACTTGAATGACAAAAGTATCCTGAAGAAATCACCTTGTTACGTATTACATTATATTAAGTGCATTTAATATTTGGGCAGTAAGTGATGATATTAAGGAAAATTGGTAAGGATTCTTTAATATGGTTGGAATCTATATTAGAACTTTTTTGTTTTGGTAATAGTCATACTGCTGCTTATTATGAATTATGTATTAGATTACATTTGTATCAGATTGGTCACTATACTGTGTGTGTTTGCTAAATTAACAGCAAAAACCTCTTTAAACTCTGCAAATTTAAAAGAAAGGTTTCACTAGAAAAATTACATATATATTTATTATATATATATATATGTGCGTGTGTCTATTACTCTCCCAGTCCAGTGCATGGAAGAATTTTCTAAGCAGTTGTGGTACTGTTGAATTATCTTTTAATTTATTGTTATATCCAGTCTATTTAGATTTCCAATTATATACAATGGAAAAATTATTTAAAACGTAATTTGCAACTCTTTTAAGATGGGAACTAAAGCAATTTTGATATGATTCATAGTCTATTCTATAAAGAGAAAGATTTCATTTATGAGAGCATTTATAATGTTTCTGCTGGAAATCAGAGGCATGTTACAAAAGGAAGGTGTATATAGGAGTACTTTTAAGTAGTATAATACTTTGTAAATTATATATCATGAAACTAAGCTTTTGGCAAAGATACTTAAAACCTACAGCTATAAAAATCCAGGTTTAAATGGTGTCCATAATGCTAACTTCATCTGCAAATCCTGTTTTATACTGTTAAGTAGGTTGTATCTGTGCCATTTTTATTATGGTGGATGTTATGTAGTTGCATATAAAGTTTCTTTTGCATTATGCGTATTCAAAAACAGGGTAGTTATATTAGATATTGCCAAATTGATAATGAATTTATTAGATAAAAACTGTTTTGTGGTGCCAATGGTTCTAAGCATCAGGTGACAGGGTATTCTGCTCTTTCTATTCAATTGAACTTGATAATGCAGCATAATTTATAAACTAACCAGCTGTGCCTGCTTTTGAGGACCCCATAGTCAATATAATAAATCTCTGAGCTAAATCTTCCAAAAACACTTTTTTCCTTATAGAAAGAAAAATAATATATGTGTGTGTGTATGCACATGCAGGCACACATTGAATGACCTATCAAGGGAGATTTAAAATGTTTTGCCAATAAAACAAATGTTATATCTCTAGGAACAGAATATGACATATGTTAACCATTTAAATACAAACATATTTAGTTTCTTGGATATGTTACTTGGCTAGTAATTTGTTTATATTTGAATGCAAAGACATTTAACTAAATTTAGGCCTGGTGGTGAGTTTATTAGATCAAAACTGAACAAGAGTTTTGTTTTTAAAATTTGTTAAAAATATTACCACTCAGACTGTCTTAAAATAAAACATAAAAAGGGCTGGAGATGTAGCTCAGTGGTAAAGTACTCCTGGGTTAAGTCCAAAAGAAAAAAGACCAAAAAAATGTGAAAAAAATAGGACCACTCTTTTCAAGTGTATCATTTAAAATGCTCCAAAATGTATTTCCATTAATTTTCACTCTCCCTTGTGAAAAAAAAATTTAAATTTGCTTTTGTAAGATTCATTACATTTACATCCCAGAGAAACTGTGCCAAATGAAATTCAATGAAATAAAAATGTGTTTTAAGGGAATGTATACAACATTAGCACATATATCAAGAAGATACTTTTGAAGGAGTTYATTTTATTAAATTTGAATTAAATATGGTCTTTTATTTTGTCTGAATTTAAATTTCTACTAGTTAATCTATGCAATCATGCTTACTTATTTTGTAAGTATTTGACTCACTGACCAGTTTTATTCTGAAAGGTTATTCTAACTTTTAGTGTCCTTAATTTCAATGTCATTTGTTCAATTATTGGTAGTACCAGAACAAGAAAGAAAGYGGGGGAAAAGGAATAAAACCTGCTGGCACAGAAATAAACATGTAATTTAGTAACTGTAAAACCTGTCTGCAGTTAAAGCTTGATTTACTGGGTAAAAGAAGAATTTATTATCTTTGCCTTTGTATTTTTTTCTTAAGAGGGAGCATTATAGAAAAAAGTAAATATAAAAAAGCATTATTGGATTTTTTGTTGGTATTCTAAATTCGGCAATCTATTGGTTGCTTAATTGTGAAACTGAAATCAAATTCTTGCTAACTTTTATTTATTTTAATTAATAGTATTGTTTTATGAAATGTGGACATGTTAGGAGCCAATATAATAGGATTCTAAAAGAATAATATATCTTTAAATTCTGATTGGGGGTCAGTTGAGGGGGAGGATATTCTTACTTAAATAAATAAACCAACATATGAGCAGTATGCAATATTATGAAATGTTACAACACTATATTAAAAATAATAAAATGCTATTTTACAATTGCATTTATGTAAATGTGTCTCAATTATTTGTTCTCATGATTGTTTATTCCTAATAGGGAACAAAACCAGATGCCATTATTGGTTAATATTCCATCTGCTTTATACAACCATCAAAGAAGATAAAATGRAATAAAAAACATTCTTGATTAATCCAAAATTAGGCGGAAGAAGAGGAAAAAGGAGACCAAGAAAAATTATCAAGATGGTAGATCTAAATTCAGTTACATCAATAATCACAGTGATTTTTTAAATGATTTAAAGATTTCAGTTAAAGAGCAAAGATTGTCAGAATAAAATAGTAAGAGCCATGTGGTAAATTTKTTTTCAGTTTTTTGAGAAACTTCCGTATTGTCTTCTCCACATCCCTAATAGCATTTGTGATTTTTTTTTGTCTTTTTGATAATAGCCATTATAACTGGGGTAAAATGGTATCTCATTGTGATTTTGATTTCCATTTCCCTGATGGCTAATGATACTGAGCCCATTTCTAGTTACATATCCAAGAGAAATGAAGTCATACCAAAGAGATTACCTACACAACCATGTTTTGCAGTACTGTTCATAATAGCTAAGGTACAGAATCAGCCTAGTTGTTTTGTTCTTGAACTTTTTTATGGGATACAGTTAAGTCACTTAGGAAATACTTGATTTTTTATAGGTTTCCTTTTAAACTTTGTGAGGCAGACACAGGACCGCCTTTATTTTACTTTTGAAGCATTGCATTCTGAATACTGTGATACTCCATGAATTACAGGTAATTTGTTTCTCCATATCCTTTCAGATGGTTATTTTGATGGTCTTGGGTAGGTAGTGGTCACATGTGATCAACTAAACAAACACTCAAGGACCCTCTGCATATCTCCACTAGTCTGTGTAGCTCTGTCACCTTAGGGATAGCATTCTGAGAACTCTGTTTGTCCTGGCCTCCCAACTCTGCCCAAAGCTCATCCTGGGTCTCCCTTCCATGTCCTGCAGTCTCCTCTTAGAAGTAAAATGGCAAGTAAAAAGAACTCAGCTAATTTTTCTTTATTTCACTCACTGCTCACTATCTGATATCTGCTCTTGGTTTCATATTTTTGTCTCATGTTTTAGTTGTTTTCAGGCTAGAGGTAAATCTAGTCCTTATTACTCCATTTTGGCCCAAAACACATAATAGCATAGTAATGCATAATGTTCTTTTTTAAAAAGAAAAGTGGGCTTTAATCCCTTTTATCATTTCATTTCTAATATTATTATGGGGTTTTTGTATCTAAATAATTTGCCAGATTTAGTTACATTGTTCTTCTGTAAACTTTAACTTATTTCATTAGTTTCTGCCCTTAATTTTATAATTATCAATCTTTATTCCCTTTGGATTTTTTTAAATATTTACTTTTTAGTTGCAGTTGGACACAATACCTGTATTTTTATTTATTTTTTTGTGGTGCTATGGATTGAACCCAGGGCCTCACACGTGTCAGGTGAGCACTCTACCACTGAGCCACAACCCCAGCCCCCTTTTGAATTTTTTATAGTTTTTTTTTCTTTAGGATATTTAAGACCTTCATTCTAAATATTTTCTAAGAAAAGTACCTTGTGAGGATAAAAATTTATATTCATGATTTTAAAATGTAGATGCCAAATTAAGAAAGTATAGGGATGATATAYATAATTTAAAAAGTTAATGGGCTGAGGTTGTGGCTTAGTGGTAGAACACTTGCCTAGCATTTGTGAGGCACTGGGTTCGATTCTCAGCACCACATAAAAAATAAACAAAATAAAGGCATTGTGTCCATCTATAACTAATAAAAATATTAGAAAAAAAGTTAAATTAGTGTTATTCAAACAAGTTTAAAAGATCACTGACATTTTGATTTTAGAGAGCCCTTAATGGTTTAGTTTAAAGCTAATTTTAATGACACAAAGTGATCATTTTAACATTCTCTGGTAACCAAAAACTGGACCAAGTATCCAGGTAARCTGGCATATTCATATAGTGGAAGAGTATAAAGCAAATAACAGGAATGAACTATATACTATTTGTGTATGAACACAACATAATGTTAAGAATCCACAAAGGTGTATACTTTGTGACTCCATCTATATAAAGTTCAAAAACAGGCAAAACCAATGTATGGTGGTGAAAATCGTTGTTACCTTTGGGAGTGACAACTTGAGAAAGAGCACAGAGCCTTCAGAGGAACTATTAATATTCTACTTTTTGACCTGGGCAGTGATTATACAAGTGTGTTCTCTGAGACTTTTATCAAACTATATATAGTTTTTTGTGCACTATTTTTTCAATAAAATTTACTTTAAAATATGAATAAAAAAGACTTTGTGTTTCTTGCTGCAAAAATAAAACCCATGACATATTTTTAACATGTTCTATTTGACCTATCTTTTATTGTTTCTGATAATAATGATGGTATTCAAGTGAACGCTCTGTCAGAATGTCATTTAGCTTTATCCTGTGCAGCCAATGCAGCTTCTTCACGCCACTTTGCTTTCTTTGCCAGGTTCCAACTTGTTAAGGATTCATGCCGTTCTGCAGCCTGCACAAAAACCAAAACAAAGCATTGTCACTCTCTGGAGTACCTTGTGTTTTAGTAAAACATATAGAAGAGACTTTGTAAAAAGAAAAAAGAGGAAAATAACCTAGAATGTCTGTCACGAATAATATTCAGGAACACTGTTTCTTTGGTATGAAAAAAAAAAAAAAAACAAGTTACTAAACTTGTAGTGGACAGAAGAGCTGATGTCAGAAATCTTTCCCCATCCTCTCACTACACACAGACAGATTTGTTGGATAAAATATAACAAAGACATTTTCAAATAATTAACCTCCAAATCAGTAAAGGGAATTCCTCAGGTATCAGAAATGAAAGTAACTCAAAGGATGAATTGGTGGGGAATGGGAGAGGCTGAAACCACAATGGAAGGAAATGGTTTTAATCAGGCATTGGGGGAAAATATTGGCCTTGACAACTGTGGGCTGGAAATTTAATCCAGGATTTGGATTCTGAGCATGGAGCTGAGCTACTTCTACAAAGCTGAAGAAATCAGGAAGAGGGAAGATATGACTAAAACTCCTTTCACTATYCCAGGAACAGGCAGGAAAAGTAAGCATTTATGTGAAGGGAGTAAAAAATGAAAGCAGTGTTTGTCTTTTCATTATAGAAGTCTCAGTGTTCTAACAATGTAAAGATTTGTGGAAACTAGAAAATCAATTTAGCAGGCTGTCATTTATGAAGAGTAGGTTGAAAACAAGAGATAGTTGCATTTCTTTGTATTAGTGTTCAGTCCAAAGTGTTTTTTAAAGTTTCCCATTTGATAAGAAAGAAATATGTTTTTTTCTAAGCTAGTAGGAATGACTGGATAGTTACATAAAAGTATGTTTATGGGCCCTAGTTCCTATATGAAGTGTGGGCTCAGATTCACTTGAGAACTTGAAAGGTAAAGGATGGAACCATAGGACTGGGCAGATTGGCTAAATGTATCCAGAGTACACATAGGGAATAGTAATAGTAAGATTGGCTAAGTATACACAGATTTAGGTATCCAGGAAAGCTATTCCTTGTGGTGTGGCTGCATGACTGAAATGCAGTGTGCATAACTGGTGGAGCCATCATCTGTCCCCTGGGTTCAGTTTCAGGTGACAATGCAAAGGGATTCTAGGATGGTAAGTTAGAGTCCAAAGAGAGCTCCTACATGGAGACTGGCAAAGAGAGAAGTTAAGACTGGAGAAGGGAGACCCAGCAGTGTTACACATCTCCCAATATTTTGGGGACTACTCTTGATGGTAAAAAGTGACCAGCAGATGGAAAGATTTGGGAAGGCAGAGAACAAAATTCTAAAGTTGTCAGTTCCTAACTTCTCTCTAACCGTATCAAACATACACCATACATTGAAGTTGGCAAGCAGGCACTCACAAACAGGACACAATCTAGATGACCTTGGCAATCACTTCGACTTGTATAGTTCCTTTTCTTAATTCTATGCAATAGCTAATTGAGTTCATAATGTAAGAAACCATTTATCTAGTCTGCATAATTTTCACACGACAAAGTTCTTGTGCAGATTTTCAACTAGGTTATAAACGGTCCTGGTTTTGTTTCTGCTTATTTTACAAGTGGAAAAAAAGTCCCCACCCCTGTCTTGGCCATATAGTTAAATTACTGGCCCAAATTTCTATGCATAAATATGTTCCTAGTATGATAGATACAAGTGGATGGCACCAGATTTCAAAAGACAAATTTGTCTTACAGTAATGAATGGCCATAATCCTGGAATTGAAAATATGTCATAACATTCCTTAAAATTCAGTCTTTTTTCTTTTTCTGTAGTGCAGGAGTTGAACCAGGGCCTCACATTTGCCTAGCATRCATTCGACCACTGAGCCACATCCCAGCGCACAACAGATCTGTCTTTAAGCAGGCACTCACCCTTTTGGCTGATGCTATCACTGCAAAGCAGGCAATAATTGTGAGTCCTATCATTATGTAACAAGCTTTCACTCGGGCTTTGTTTCTTGCAGCATCTATCATTTCAGGCCTAAACCAAGATATGAATTTTGTTAATTATGTTAAAGTAATACAGTTTTCTGATAGTCATGATAAATAATTATTTGTTAAAGGGATATTCAAAAAATATCCCTGAATGCAAAACAGACATGAAAATCTTTCAAATGCTAGTCCATTAGTATTACCAATTTTAAATTAGCAGTTATTTATTCATATCTTAGAATAATTAACCACTATGAGATCACTGTCTAGTATATTTAGTTTCTAATTGCTCAAAATATAAATACAAGAGATTATGGTCCAACTGTGGTTTTTGTTCACCAAAAGGAATAAGGGTTACAGCCTGTGTATGTCTATGATTCATATTAATTTAGCTTATATGTTAAATAGGCCTTGGGTTTTCATTTAAATGGGTTAGTCTTTAAAACTCACTTTCAACACTTTGCTTTTTTCACTAGCCTTCCAATCAAAATCTCTCTCTCTCTTTCTCTCTCTCTCTCTCTCTCTCTCTCTGTACTGGGGATTGAACCCAGGGATGCTTAACCTCTAAGCTACATCCCCAACCCTTCTTATATTTTATGTGCATACAGGGTCTTGTTAAGTTGCCTAGGCTTACTTTGAATTTATGATCCTTCTGCCTCATCCTCCCTAGTCACTGGGATTACAAGTGTGCACCACCACCATAGTACCCAGCTCCAATCTCTTCCTGCCCCTCCYATCCTATTACCCAAAGACACTATTATATTATGAATGACTATTAGAAAAAGGATGTTTCCTTCATGACTTTTGCAGAAAGTTTAAAAGAAGTGACCCAAATTATAATAATTTGTTAAAGAAAAAAACAAAGGCACCTTCATTTTTTATTATTCTGAAGTTTGATATAGTCATTAAAGTACTGGGCTATCTTATTAATAGATACATTCTAGTTGTCCAGGATTTTAGCAACACTAATTACAAAGTAATGTTACAAGAAGAATCATGGATAGAGAACTTTTATATTGAAATTAACTGTAAACTTTGAAATTTGCAATAATATGAAGTGGCAGTTTATAAATATGCATAATCAAAGTACTTGATTCTTGAGAATATGTTCAATGACATTCTTTTCTACCTAATGTCAAATTTAAATACAGGGCAGTTACATTAAAATTTCTCCAGGAAGACAAGTTACAATTCCTCTTAAAAATGAAAAACTAACTTTTCTACTAATTGAAAGGTTACAGAAAGCAATATAAAGCTTATTTTCCTTAGATTTCTGGGCAGAATAACATAAATTTTAAGATGTTAGTTGTGAACAGGTTCAATTAGTGTCCATGGAGACATTATTAGATTTTATTTCCTGCTACCTTTTGTTCCAGATGGAACTTAAAAGATCTTATCTTTTTGACCTATCCATCTGGCTTTGAACTATTWTATCAAATTAGTTTAACACAGCAAAAACTTAAAAAATAGCATGGTTATTAAATAGAATTAGTGTATGGTACAAAAATTATAGGTCACTTAATTACATGTCCATTAAGAGCATAAAAAGGGGAAAGTTGTTTATATTTCAGAACTAACAGCAGGAATATCCCTCCTAAATAGCAAGACTAAAAATTTGTSTAAAACTACAAACATCTACAACTACAAACATGGCACCTTGTTCATTGTTAAATGCTCCTGTTCATAATATGTCTTTTGACTGTAATCCTTAGGAAATTAAATTATTTTGGTAAAATGGTTCTCTTCCCACATTTAGCTATGTTAATACTGAATTAAGCATAGGATCTCTTAATAAGCATTAATTTACAGTGGGCTGCTTTTTTACAATCTTCATACCAAGCAAAACAAGATTTGTTTTATAATAACAGCAAATGTCTCTACTGTTGAATAAATACAGAAATAGGCTCCAAAAGCCATGTTATTTCAATTTCATGTTCATTTCCTATTTTAAAAACTCTGAATCCAAAAAGGAATAAAAATGCTTCAGAATTCATTGTTGAGAATACATTTTTCCACCACATGTTTTTTTTCTCCCCCATTTATTTGAGGTGCTTTGAGTAACTGGTAAACTAAGGAGCAACAAAACTAAAAGCGATGTGTGAAGAACAAGACACAGACCCCGTTTTCATCATCTATGTATTCTAATGAGCATTCTAATGAGTAAAATACAATATATAGAATACCTCTAATTCTTTTCAGCATTGTCGTTTCAGATTTCCTATTTTTTAATGATCAGTTTTAAAACTAGCAGATTGATTTTATTCTTAGTTTCCTTCTCTTTTGTACAAAACCTTCTCTTGTAAAAGTCCTGTAAATTTGGTGGGGGTAGCGTGGAGTGGTGGTGGCATTAACTGAAATGATGTAATGATGGTTTTTTGCAAGTTACATGTACTTATTTTTTAGAGGTTACATTACCCTGGCTGGGAAGTTGCTAGTTTTGAGTTTTATCATTTAGCCACCGTCTTGATGGGCTTAGGACAATGAGGATACTTCTATGTGTTGCAACTCCAGTAAACCTGGTACCCAGAGGGCTGCAGAATCACGTTCACCACAGGCAGTCTCCCTCCGCAGAGGAGGAGGCTGCCTGGATGAGGATTCTTCCCAGAGACCCTCCAGCAACCCCATAAGCTATGATCAGGGAACTTTTTCCTTGATTTAGCGGCGACTCCTCAAGCTCAGGGCCCCTTCTCGCTCTCTGGCGCCCCCCGAAGTCACCAGGGTGCTGGCGAGAACCGTGCCTTGTGTTTGGCTTAAATGATCTGGGAGCTCTGGGTACGTGGGCATAATAGAAGTGTCCAGTGGTTTTCCGAAATCTGCAACTTCTGCAATCTCCCTATAAATTTAGCTGCCCACTGTCCAGTCAAGGGATTTGATGCATCGGAGGTGGGGGTAGTAATTTTCTTAAGGTGGCGGGTGTGAGTGTGAAAAACTGGCCCTGCTCCTTGGCCCCAGGGTATGGCCTCCCGAAACCTGGGCCGCGACACCCGCCACACTTACGGAACCCGAGGCGGGATCTCCTCTATCGATTTGAAACGGCCGGTCCACACCAGGATTTTCTTGTCGAATTGTGTGGGCTTGTGCTGGGCGAGGACCCTGTGAACCTTCCCTGCAGCAAAAGCGACAAAGAAGGACAGAGGTAATGAGGGCCCCAAGGCACCGAGGATAAGCGCCATCAAGCCTCGACCCTCAGCCCTGGGCCCCTCGCCCAGCCTCCCTTAGTCCCCCTTTTCCCAGGACAGTCCCTCCTTTTCACTGGCTCACCATGACTTTGGGCATCAGGATCGCTGCGAGTCTCACCACTGAAGTAGCGAGGGAGACCACAGAGCTGGAGAGTGGTTACCCGCAGCCGAGAGGCTGCTGGAGACGCCCCTGGGACGCAGCGGACCGCGCACCCGGAGCCCAAGCGCAGAAGGCTCCCGACAGCGGAGAGCATGCTGCGTGCTTTTCCCGTACCGTACCGCCAGCCGCACCCGCACCCACTGATTCACCAGAGCGATCTCCCTCCAGCCCACCCCGACCTGGGGAACCCGGGATCTGCAGCTGGGACTGACGACTTGAGCTCCCTCTGGCTTGCTGTCCCCGCCCMGCGGGTGACCCAGGACCAGGGGGCCAGGGGAACTGATTCCCCAGGGAGTGGCCTGGTTGGGTTTGAAAACTCTGAAGTGTGCAGGCTCACAACCTCCTGAGACAGCTTGTGCTGTTCATTTATTAAATATCTCTTCGTATCAAGATTTGTGTTTCAGGTTTTTGGTTTTTGCTTCCACCGTTTATGCAAAAAGCTTAAATCCATCTAAACCCTGTCCTCAAGGAAAAGAAGTCAGTTCTTCAAGTGCAGGAAAGTTGAAATATTTACCAAGGAAGAGTAGGGGCACTCACCAAACTTTTCCCATAGGGAAGCTGTTTGAAATTAGAACTTCCCACCCCGACCTCCACGTTTTTTCTCTTTTTTGGGCAAAACTATCTCAGTTCCTACAACAGTTTTTCTCTATGTTTTCACTTCTTGGTAAGCCCATAAACCTTCTAACTCCCTCCCTAACGTGCCTTTCTTCTGTTACTTTCCACTATCTCCCCTCTGCTCAAAGTGGGGAGAATTACTCTACTTTAGCACTAAATGGGAAGAGGGACTCCGACTCAAAGTCTGGAGAGAGGGATGTAGATAGTCCTATACTTTGAAGAAATATTTATTGTATTCCTCAAACAACAGACTCCGCCAAGAGAAAGCTTTCCTCAGCATTCCCTTCTTCCCACTTATTGCCCCTGAGTTTCTTTCCACACTTAGATGCTGCTTGGTGCTTGTCACTGGATTTCCAGAAATTTTCTTCCTAAATAGATCAGGCTCTTGAGGGTAAGAACTTCTCTGTAACTCTGAGCTGAATGACTTTCACTATCAGTGTTTATCTAGAAAGACTAATTAGTAACTCTGTAAAGATATATGCATCTATAGGACTGCCTGTAGAAAAAACTTCAACATTGCTGTCACACCTAAATTTAAATCTCATATTTGTGGCTTAAGAGTTACAAAATCATGGACAAATTCTTTAAGTTATAAATCTTGGTCTCATTTAGTAAAATCAGAATTCCCACCTGTCATTCATTCATGCAATGACTACTCCAAACCTACTATGTGCCTGCTACTATTCAGAACTGGGGCTAGAGCAATGATAATGTCAGGTGGGGCTTAGGGAATTAAGAAAAATGAAGCATGATGGGGGAGGAAAAGTGAGCAAGGGTGTGATAAGGGGTAGGAGTGGATGCTATTTAGAAAGAATAGATAGGGATGCCCTTCTAAATGTGTCTGGCACATAATAACTCGTCAAAATACATAGTTTCTCAGGGCATGGTGGCACATGCCTATAATCCCAGAGGCTAAGACTGAGGCAGGAGGATCTCAAGTTCAAAGACAGCCTCAGCAATTTAGCAAGGCCCTAAGTAATTCAGTGAGACCCTGTCTCTAAATAAAAGAGAAAAAAGAGACTGGGCATGTGGCTCTGTGGTTAAGCACCCCTGGGTTCAATCTCTGGTACAAAACAAAAACATTTCGTTTCTTTCCTTCACATAGTCCCAGAACTCAAGGGCATTTTAATTCTCTGACCTGAAGGAAGTGTTATTTATTATATTCTCAGAATATATCTGAAAAATTGACACTTAGTAACTATTTAATAATTATTTAAGTAATGATGAGATAAATGCAATMTTCACAAACTGACTCCATCCACACTTTAAGCAAAGACTGAAGTACTTGACAATCTATGTCCCTTTCAACTTTGTATCTCCAGTGACTATTATGTTGCTTAGCACATAGCAGTCTCTAAATAAATATTTATGGAACAGAACTGAATCAATTTCTGTTTTAGAAAGTATGTTGCCATCAGTGATATCTGATTGTTCCACCATTATGCTAACTTACTATTCAAATATGGGTCTTTTTCTTTTTGATATTTTACTTGTCTTTACATCACTGGGAATATTCATAGAGTTAGAGAAAACTATCTCTGAGAAACAACTAGTTATTAATAGTTCACCAAGAAGTATTAAATTAGCAAAATAAATTTGTTTCTGTGGAGACAGCCAGATGTCATGTGGATACATCCAGGCATCTCTAGCACCAGAGACCTACAGGGCTAGTGAACAAGGCCTCAAGTCATGAGAAAGAGAACTATTTGCATTCTGTTCTCTATCCCTAATGGGATTAAAATATCATGTTTTGGCAGTGCTCTGCATAAAATAAATTACTTACAGCTGCATAAGAGATGTTTTCTTTAGTGCTACAATTAGAACAAGTTAAAAAGAACTCAAATCAACTTCTAATAGAAGAAAAAGATAATTGTATTCTTTTATTTCTTTTTCTAACAGGACAGCACATTTATTCATTTAATAAGTAWTTATGTTCTGGACAATGTTGCAGACTGTGAGGTTGGAGCAGATAATCAAAGGAAATTCTCTGCCCCTCCAAGAGCTTCTGATTAATCCAAGGCAGTTTCAGTTTGCTCATAGTGTTCTGTGTTCTTTTTCAATCCAAATCTCCATGCAATTTGTTTGAATATACTATTTTTAGTATTGTTCCTTCAAGACCTGCTTTTTGGTATGGTTTATATTTCCAATTCCTTCAGCTACTGTAGTTACTTTTAAGATACACTTTCCTAACTAGGAATAGATTTGATGAGAATAGTTTTTACTTTTTTTTTCTTTTAAAATTATTATTCAAAAGCTGGTGTATTCTTTGCTTCTGATTTGAGTATCTAACTTACTGTATCTAATTGTCATTTGTTAGTCTGTAGTTGATGTTAAAAAWTAATTTATGAATTCATGARCATCCCATACTACACCAAAGGCAGTCATAAGAGAATTGCAATGCTCTGGAGCATTTATTGTAAGGAGGCTCCTTTGTGTGCAGTGGGTATAGTTGTCTTCATTGTCATGTTACTTTTTAATATTAAACACCTAAGCTGCCATGTATTTTTTTCCCACAGTTTTCAAGGAAGAGCACAGAACAATTTCCCATTTCATATTCATAGTATGAAAGTGAATTCTATTTTGAAAAAAAAAAAAAAGCTGGTGTAATCTGTGCTGGGCTAAGGTAGGGAATGCAAAGAGTGAGGGGCCCAGCTGCCCCTAAGGAGCTGTCAGTCTGGCTAGAATGATGTTCCCTCATCAGCAAATGTTCTACTGCCAACAGGGGATTTAGAAGGAACCTTAAATAACTTGTTTTCCYATTTTCTACTGGTCCTTTCATTGGAGAAGGTTCTAGAGAGACAGTTTATCTGCAGAGCCAGCTTACAGTGGTCCCCAGTGCTTTGGACATCCTTGTCAAGTTTGGGCCTGATAACCCACTAGGCACCAAGTGTGTACTAGCAACAGAAGGAGAAAGAAAGGAGGGARGGAATGAATGAATGAATGAATAAGGGAGAGAGAAAGATGGGTGAGGAGGGAAGAAGAGAGAAAAAAAGAAGAAAAGAAAAAGAGGGAAAATTTTGGAATTATTCTGAAATTTAAATTATTCTTTTTWAAAAAATTATGGAATTATTCTTTTTTTAAAAAATCTTTAAGGAAATATCAGAAGTTTCTTGAAGGTCCTTATACTTACATCTTAAATATATATTAGCTTACAAATTGGGGAAGACCTTACCATTGCAGCACCTGAGGATGCCAAAGGTCTTAATTTGACCAAAGCTGATAACATCAAAACCTGATTATGATCTTTTGAAAAATCCAAATCTATCCAGGTAAAACCTTCCAGTGGTTCCATATCATACTTAGGACAAAATTAGAACTCTTTATTAACATCTAAATGACCTCTCCAAGTTCAGTTCTGACCACTGTCTCCATTTTCCACCTGTTCCAGTCACACTAGGCCCAACACACCAGAGTTTCACAAACAGGACTAACTAACTTGCATCTCAGGGCCTTTGCTTTTGCCTCATGTGTTTGCCTCCTTGTCAATTTTTAGGTCTCAGTGCAGCTGTCACTACTTCATAGAGGCCTTTCCTTACAAACGTAGCTCCCCTCCCCACCTCCCTTTCATAGAGCTCAGAGTTGTTCTCTATTGCATTACCTTGTTTCTGTGTGGGAGCTGCCATTCTTTGTACCTTACTGTGTATTATCTGTCTGCTACCAGAAGGCTATCTCCATGACYAGCATAGTGATATAGCATAGTGCCTACCACATCTGGAGGTTCTCAGATACACATTGGATAAAGGAATGCCATAGCCACAGCCCCAAGGAATGCATACATGAATGACACCCGCTGCTGCTTAATCTCATTCCATTAAGATTCTCAAAAGAGGGACTGGGGCTGTGCCTCAGTGGTAGAGCACTTGCCTTGTATATGAAAGGCACTGGGTTTGGTACTCAGCACCACATAAAAATAAATAAATAAAATAAAGATATTGGGTCCATCTACAACTAAAAAAAAAAAAAAATTCTCAAAAGAGTGCTAGGGTCGTGGCTCAGCAGTAGAGCGCTCGCCTACATGTGTGACTCCCTGGGTTTGATCCTCAGCACCACATAAATAACTAGATAAGATAAAGGTATTGTGGCCTACAACTAAAATAGTTAAAAAAAAAAAAGATTCTCAAGGAGGAGGAGAAGGAGGAGGAGGAGAAGGAGGAGGAGAAGGAGGAGGAGGAGGAGAAGGAGGAGGAGAAGGAGGAGGAGGAGGAGGAGGAGGAGGAGGAGGAGGAGGNAGGAGGAGGAGGAGGAGGAGGAGGAGGAGGAGGAGGAGGTCCAAATATCAGTCTGACAAGTACATTCCGAAGAAAACAGATTGGATTATCTGCTTCTGCAGATAAAAACTGTTCCAAGTCTTTTATATTTTCTGTAATATGTAGTTTTTATTTGTTCTAGAAATAGAAAACGTGAAATTATTGCACATTTATGAAATACAACCTATGCACACAGGCCACCAGACAGCAAAAAGTCATACATCCATCTGCAATGACCATGTTCTTCACCTTCATTAGGTGAAGAACCCTCACCTTCTAGCCGAATGATTGTGTTTGTAGTCTGGTTTGATGGTTATGGACACTC